TTCCAAAAATTTTGCTAAAATCCATTATTTTTAGGATTTATTTGTAGATTTTTCTACATATAGAATAATATCATTTATGAATAATCACACTATTATGTCCTTCTTTCCAGAGCGTCTAATTTTCCTTTTTCATGCCATGTGTGCCGGTCATCGCTTGGTGACAAGTGTTGTTGATGTTCAGAAACGGTGTCAGGCACACTTGCACCGTCCCAGTCTCAACAGGAGAGCTCTCAGCACTTCACTGTCGAGTGTGATACTTACTGCAGTTTGATTTTTTAACAGAACCATTTAGGAAATTCTCATTTGTTCCTAACACTTTCCTTACAATTTTTTATATCTAGATTCCTGAATGAAAAAGGAATTTTCCTTTCTTATACTGTCACTGTTTGGTCTTGGTATCAGGCTGTATTAACTGAGGGAGGGAGCATGCATTCCTTCTCCTCTTCTCCAGAAGGGTTTACGTAAGACTAGACTTACTTCTTCCTCGAGTATCTGTAGAACTCTCTGGCGAAGGTATCTGGGCAGGTAGTTTTCTTCAAGGGAAGATGTTTCGACTTAATTCCTTTAATGATTAAAGGAACATTCAGGGTATCCTTTTTCTTCACGAGTTGGTTTTGGCAAGTTGTATTCTTCGAGGAATTTGACTACTTCATCTAAATTTTCAAATGTACTGACATGAGGTTATTTCTAGATGCCAAGAAATTTAAACATCTACTTGGTGAACTGAGCCTTTTATCTTTATGAAATGAATTCATCCTCTTTGCTGAGCAGCGTTTTTTACCGTAACATCTGTCTGTCAGAGATTAAAGTTCACCACCTTTCTTTGGCTTTGCACTTGAGTAGTACAGCTTTTCCTGCCCTTTGACTTTGGACTTTTCCGTATCGTTATGCTTGAGATACACATCTTGGAGACAACACGGAGTTGCTTTTTCATTTTATCCAGTTCTACTACCTTTGTCTTTTCACTGGAGTAAGTAGTCTATTTAGCGCATCTTCTGCCGATACATTTGCCTTTACACCTCACATTTTCCGTGGTCTGTTCTACTTGTCTACCTTACATTTTCCTTCCTTTTCTTGCCCTCATTTGGATTATTTTTTGAGATCATTCTTTTTCCCCCAGATACTAGTCTAGAAGTTATATATATTCTGTTTCCAGAAATTTCATCATGCATATTTTCAAATTATAAAATTAATCAACATGTTCACGCTCTTCCGAATGACAAAGACTTTAGGACTCCATTGCCCTCTGCCTGATCGTATGCCGCTGTGGTGCATTCCGCAACCACCGCAGGTGTGAGTTCACACCAGACTTTTAAGACCACTGAATTTGCTCGAAATTGGCATCATGAATCCAATCAATTATGGTCCACCCAGAATCAAATTGACAGCAAATTGCTGCCCGAGTGTCTGACTTACAACGAGCAGTCAGTCACCTTCCTGGGAGACCAGGTTATAAGCCTACAAAAGCAACTTAGACTCCGCTGTGACTGGAATATCACTCAATTTTGTGTTACACCTCATATATATATATAATCGAACTCGATTTCCTTGGGAAAACATTAAGAAACATCTACTTAATCAAGGAAATCTGACTGAAGAGATTGGAAATTTGCAACAAGAAATATTAAGTACCTTCAGTCACAAACTTAATTTGCTCTCTGAGGCTGACATTATTAATGGCATCTCATCTGGTTTAGAGTCAGCTGATCCATTTTCTCATCTTAAGATCTATGGGAATACCACTATAGTAACTTTTGGCATTATTTTAATCATTTGCTTATGCTTATTTATAGTCTGGAGAAAACTACCAAGACAAGAATCTGGAGACCAACGCCTCGCTATGATGGCCGTGCAACTTCATCAACTTATTT